AAAGACTTATCTGTGAGTATGAGTTTTTTTCTCGTTCTGTCTCACTTTTTGGTACGCATTTCTATTGAATCGAAATGCATGCTCTATTCGACAGAAAATGGAAAAACATAAACAAAAAACAAATCAACACATATACAAACATACGTGTACACTGTACATACAGAGAACTAAATCCTATTCAATTCAGAGATTATTTTTTTCGGTTCTTTTATATATGTCATTCTGTTGATTGTTTCGCATAGTCTTGTTAAAAAAAATGTAGCATTTATTTCCCTGATAAACGGCGACGAACAGTGGAACTCAATACCATTTAAAATTGTTGTATGCTAGTTTCGTTTGTCGAATTTACACGTTTTCGATTTGCTATCCTTTTCTGTGTCTATATTTAATGTATATTTGTGTGCATTCGCCGAAGCATTTACAAGGCGGTTAGGTAGATTGCATTTACATTGTGTGTGTGTTGTGTATATGGTTTCTGACAAAATCTGATATGGATTTACACCTTTGTTATGTTATTGGGTTCTTTGTTCAACATCTTCGTCGTTACCATCAACGTCATAGTATCGACGAATAAAGTGCCAGTGTATTTTGATGCACTAGTTTGTGAAATACAACACGTTATTTATAAATATCGTTGCAATGCTAAATAACTGCTAACGATACGAACAAAAAAAAAGAAAAGAATTTTGATCTGATGAAGGAAAATGTCTAACAAATACATGCATCGATAAAAGGGTTTCACTTCTTTTATATTCAGCAAAACTCCAGTACAAACACCATGTAATCCTTGAGCTCACCGAATTTTGATGGAAACGCACTCGAATTAAAAGGTTTCCAAATCGATTCGGAAACAGTGACAAAGATGGTCACAGAAAAAGAAATAGAGAAAGAGAAAAGAAGGTAAAAGACACTCAAACATTCACAGATGGTACTGATTCGTCTTTTACACACTATAGGCTTAGTTACATCTAGTAATTTAATATATTCGTGATCGAACATCAATTTTTCGTCGCATTCAGTCACATAAAGTTCTGTGAAATTTCATTAATCGCACTCATTTATATAGAAATTTTTGTTAATCTGGCAGCGCAAATAGTGATATAATATGAGAATCAGTAAAATCGACAAAAATTGTTTTGGTATGCAATACGCCGTCAAAATGAACGCAGGGTAACAAGGGAATAGCACACAGAGATAGATAAACAGACAGACAAAAGAGATACTCGCCCGATAGTGAATTCATTCAAATTGATTCACATTAAAATTATCCACAAAGATATATAGCAAAACGACAATTCTATTTATTAAATGTATGTCATTACTGTGCATTTATTCTAGTTGTTGGCTACAGCTTTTTCGTTCGATTAACAAAAGAGTGAGAGCAAATGGAACGAAACCAACTGCATAAATCCGTACAAATCAATGCGATCGATTATTTTTTTGTGTCGATTCTTTTATGGCTCACGTCGCCTGCGAACTACTTTGGCACTCTAAAATGTTTATTGATTGCAATAAAGAATACAATCAAACGAACACGAAAGATATATTTTGGCAATGCTTGGCCCTCAACACAATTCAATCCAAAAGAAAAAGAAGCGGCAATAGAGACAACGACAAAGGCAAGGGGCAGCATAATATATGAAAAACGAAAAGAATGCATGAAATGAATTTTTCGACGATTTTTAATTCGTTTTGATTATCTTTTTATATAGCAAATGCATTTTCGGAGGCTTATTATTGTTCCCACGAAATGCGTCAACAAGCGGTTATTGAATTATCAATGCATATATCGACGCATACATTGTCCGATAAGTGGTACGCGATTGGTCAGGTCGTTTAAACATTTACCGAATGATAAGCAAATTGAAAATGTATGCATTTGATAACTGCAACTTATCGGTCATACAGAATTCTTTATTTTTTTTGGTGTACACTGCATACATATTCAAATGCTATTCAGCTGCGTATTGTTTTTTTGTGTTTTGTGTCGTCGTTGCAACGGTTTAAGTTAATTACTTCACTTTAAGCAATTTAAACATAATGTATCAACAACATTTCGAACTCGATAGACGATTCACAATATTAATTCCTTTTAATCATACATGGTAGCCGACACATTTACTTTTTTGTTTTTTTCTTTTGAAAGTTTTTTTTCCTTTATAGTTTGTGACAATAATAAGATTTGCATCTGCTTGATTTCTATCAACTAAAATATGCCACATTCCGATTGAGTCCATGAACTATTATGAAAACTTACTGAACAAATAGTCGTTATTATCTCTGTGTTTCGTGTAAATTTTGTCTTATTTTCGAAAAAAATAATATGTATTTATACGGATCGTTAATAACAATGTGAAACCATTTGCGATTGAAGAAAATATTAAAAAATGTTATTTTTTGTAGATTTCGTCCGTCGATTTGAAACACGTATTCAGATGGGATTGTGTTTTCAAAATTTCACTATTCCACATATAATTTTCAAATATTTACCAAATAAAGAAAAAACCTGACACAACCGACCAATTTCTAAACTGTAGATGATTTTGGATGTGAATTTTTGCCGGTGAATTGAGTTGGCCCCCATATCTAATTGTACACACATATATAAAGAGTCTTATGTTTATGTTAGTTGACGTGAGAAAATCACAATATTTTATATTTTCCGACGAGAAACAATAAATTTCGTTTTTGCTATTGTGTTTCCTATTATTACTTTTATTATTTATTAAATGCTCTTTGGCAGTTACTATAAGATCAAACCGTTCTGGCCATAGACTTGTCGTATTATTATTATTATTATTTTTTGTTCATGTTCTACTATCCAACCACTAATTATGAAGCGAAATGAGTGATGCAAGTGTGTTAAACTCGCACACGCAAGACGACATGGTATTTACGTAAATTTTCAACGTTACTTTGTTTTCTATCTTTCTTACTGGTCTCGCTGGAATGATTTCACATACATCGCATTTTGTTTCTAACTTCCCATCATCCAATTCGGGTCGCCTATAAATGCAACAACACTTTGTGTTTGTTTTTATAAATTATTATCGTTATGTTTATATTATTTATCTCGTGCCTTTTTGAATTGTCTTTCATTTCGGTTTACTAAATGCTGTGTGGCTACCATCACTTCTTTTCGTTTTAGTCATAATATTTGTAGTCTTCGGGTCTTCTTTATTTTACCATTAAACGTTTTGTTCGCATACACTTCTCGCTGTTTTTTTTCCCTTGTCTCTTCTTTGGTTTCAGTTTGTGTGTTTTCGTTCAAAAAATCAACGGAATAAAAATCCGATTTTTTTATCGTCTAAATGAGCACAATAACTGCCGCGTCGCGCACTCGCCACTCGCCACTCGCCACTTCAACATATACTATACTATAGAATATAAAAACCGAAATAGACAACAATTGTTTATTTGTTGTGTGTATTTTTCTGCGCTTCTTTCATTTCGTTTCATTATGAATTATGACATGACACATGTTTCTTCGGTCTTTTATTACTTGAATTGCCTGATTTTAAATTCAAAATAAATAAAATAAGAACGAAGGCGATTCATTTCTTGCGGTGCATAGAGTCGCCGCAGAACTGTCATTTCTCAGCAGTTCTTTTTTACTCAGCGAGTCAGTCAGATAACAAATGTTTCCAAAAGGAGCATTTGTTTGACCCGATCTGTGTTTGTGGTGCTTCTTCACATTTCTCTGTATTTTTTTCATTTGTATGTTTTTTTTTTTGTCACATTTTGCTTGTTGAACGATAAATTTTTAGTTTTTTTTTTACAGAATTTCTGTACGTGGCCCATGTTTTATAATATTTTACTGAACAGAATTATCCGATTTGTTTCACTGCAAAACGTCGCATAGCATATCGGCATCATCATCATCATCGTCGTCATCGTCTTCAGCAGTAATGCACGGGAACGACGGCATAAGTGCAATATACATCACAAAACACAAAAGCGTGAGACTTGTGACTAGTTGCAAAAAGGGCAAGTAAAAACGAAGAGCGGTATTGAAGAGAACATTAGATACAAAGCGTTTCACAAAAAAAAAAAAAAAAAAAAACAATGTACTGTGAGAGAGAAGTAAATTTAATTAATTTTTGGTTTATTTCAGAGAAAAACCGCAATGAAAATTATGGAGAATTGAGGCAATAACATTATTTGGATAATTATCGCAATTTCCTCTTTTGACGAAAGCAAATGTTAAATCTTATGCCAGACATTGAAAAACATGCATACACACCACACACCAACATAGAGGATATCTTGAGTAACTAGTGACATTCCATTTGCTTGACCACTGGACTGTTTATTCCCCCCATTTTTGCTTTGCCTTCTGACATTGTTTTTGTCGACGGTGGTGGTGTCGAACGAAAAATGTGAATTTACTGGAATTCGTTTACATTTTTTTCCCTAATTTTGTGAGAATTAGTAAGTATGGCACTTTCATCAAATGTTACCACGAAACCACAAATGCGGAGATTTCTTTTGTTGACTCATAACTTAATATCCTACATTTGCATAATTTATAGTGCTCACATATACAATGTTCAGTAGGCAATCGAAACATTAAGAAAAAACAATTAGTCACCACAGCCAATAAAAATACAAATCACAAATATCGTTGTTCCTCGTTGAATATTTCAGTGTATATGCACTTCCGTATAGCATCGAACACACACTATGCTTGTGTAAGTGATTGATAAAAGTCGGTCCCTACTGTCATTTTTGGGCTTTCGACATATCAGTTTCTAATTATCTTAATGCAAGATACATTTGGACATTTAAATTCCAAGCCGAATATCGGTCGATGTCTGTTTGATTTATTTAGTACACACAATTTTATAAAGATAAGAACAAAGCAAAACCCAAAAGAAAAAAAAAACGAACATAAGAACGAATTGACTTGGTACCAAAATTAAAACGTTATCTAGACTATTGGATATGCAATATGTATAACGTTGAATGAATAAATGCTTAAGCACTTACTAACAACTAACCGTTTAGTAAAAGGTAAACGCCAAACCGCCAAAGGAAATTCACACTAAGATCGTCGTCTTCAACTCAATCAAAATGACAAGAATTGGGTCTTGTTTTTGTTTCACTGATGTCTATCTCAGTTGTTTCGGAAAAATTAATCTTAAAGTCACTTCAAAATTCACCAAAAACTATAAATCACTGTTTATATGAATTAACAGCATCACTTTCAGCATGGATGCTGTATCAATTTGAATAAGTTTCCACTTAATATTTTTTTTGCAATTTGAATTGTTATCACCATGTGAATATATATTTGAATTCTTGTAAATTTCTAGCATTAGGATATTCGAATGGATTTTCTTTCACTTGTCAAATATTTTACTTGAAATTGTAAGTTGTTTGTTGAATTTTTTTTTCTTCGTTCTCTCAGTTTACTTGTATTTCTTTTCACTGATACTTAGTGATGGTTTCGTTTCTATTTCGAAATAAAAAGTGATCAATTCCATTGATGATTGCTTTTTGTTCTGCTTCTCTCTGTGTATGTGGAAGCTAATTAGTTTGCTGCTAAAAAATATTGTTGTTCGTCGTCTCATCAAGAACAAAAATTTTCGCTATGTCTGTTTTTAAGCACATGAACAATGTGGACAAACCAAACGTATGTTTTTTTGGTGGTAGAGTTAAAAGAATACTTCCGACGGTATGGACCGAAGTTATGTTTGAAAAAAAAAAAAAAAATACAAATTCGCCAAATATCAAACGTGCGAAAATTTTCGATGCTCGTAATCAACAAATTAAACAAACTTTAAAAACAAACTCACAATCACTCGCGAACTTGCAGCATACACATACAAATAAAATCCAACATAACAATGTTACAACAGTACCGAAAAAAAACTGACAAAAATTAATTTCCAGGTGAAGTTTTTTTATTGTGGTTATCGATTTTGATTTTAAAAAGTACGTATGTTGTGGATTTTCAAAGTGCGAAACTTTTTTTTTATTGTTCCGTTTATCGGTTAAAAATTTTTTTTATTTCATGTCGAAAACAATATAATTTTTTGTCGTAGTAAATTTAAAAAATTCACGAAATCGAAATAATAATTCGATTCAAACGCGACGACTGATGTGAACACACATGTTGTTTGGGCATATTCTGTATGCATACTGTTCGCTATAAGCGCGGTTACGAATCAGTTGGGTTCAATTGGTTGCCGTTAATATTGCTGCAAGCTGTATCATCTAGCACTCAGTCGACGCGACCAATGTTTACCAGTACGAAATCAGTGAAGCGCTGCACAACGGAGGAGAACATAACGATGCGTGTAACGAAATAACGATACGATAGAAACGGAAAAAGGAAACGAAAACACTCACAGCAGTTCGCTCGGATGCGTTGAATTCGCGTGCGGCATAGAACTTAATTGCGTATGTGTGTGCGTGCGTTCGACTAATTCCCGTAATATTTGACGTTGCGTTTGAGATGTTCTTTATGGTCGGAAGACCTCAACAGAATAACCGATTCATTTGGCGAATGAACCAGCGGAGACTGCTGTTGCATCTCTCATGTGTGCATCTCACACACATTGTTTGCGCATATATTTTGTATGTTTTATGTTTTGTTGCATTTGATCATCGTTCACTACATATAAGTCCATTAAGCTTTTTGTTAAATTATTAATTTATTCATTAATTTTAATTTTAAATGTAAAATTATTAATTAAAAATTCCACCGTATTGGTAAAGTTAGCCGAAATGAAGCCGGGGGGAAGAAACAAAAAACAAACTTTGCATGCACAGCGAATAGATTCTATGATGGGGGGTTGTTATTGGGTCAAAATCAATCCGGTTTTGTGTTCCATCCTTTTTGTTACAATATTGTTAATTGCCTGGATGCATGAACGGATTTAATTATTTTTTTTGTTTGATGAACTCAACCATATGTACGTTGAAATTAAAATATTATCTGAATGATTGCTCGATAAACTGTGAACAATATTTGATAATAGCGCCTATTGTATTGCCAAATCGAATTGAGTTGATTGAAATCAGAAGCGAACACAAAACATCGATTGCAGTTATACTACTTTACGATACTATTGAGTGGATGACATTTTATTTTCAAATCAATAGTTTTTCATTATTGTTTTTTTTTTTTGTAAATCAACCTGGGATGTCAAATCAATATGGCAAATGTTGAGCCTAATACCTGCTGTGGACTGCAATGGATAATTTTATTTTGGTTGAATTTTTAAAAATGAGCAAGGTTTGTTTACAGAGGCATAGAAGGAATCGTAAACGTATTTCAAGAAAATACAGTTATACACAGTCGAGATACAATGTATTTTTTGTCAACTTATAATACACCTATATATTTCATATAATATAATCGAAATGTATTGAAATAAATTGAATAAAATGTTTTTTTACAAAAAATTGATAACAATTGCATCACATAAAAACCAATAAAAAAACAAAATTACAAACAATTGCACACGAGAAAATCAATCGTACACTGAAAAAGTGAAAATAACGTATTTCCAAGCGCACGCTTTCCACTTTTTGTTGCAAAGCATTAAAAGTGTTTCGATCTTAATCAAATGAACTTTTTAATTTTTGTTTCGTATTTACGCATTTTATTTTCCAATGGATTGTTTTGTTATATTGAAAAGCTGCAGATTTTTGCAGCTACATTTAAGCGATCGTTCTCGCCAAATGGCATATTGTGTTGACACATTGAAATTGGGGAGACAAAAAACTATCATCACAGCGAATTGTGTGCTTGAAATGATGGATATAGATATAGATCAGGATCAATAAGGATCGTTCAAATATTTATTTACATGTTTACATGTGGCACAGAGAAAAAATATTCAGAAAACCACTAGAAATATTGTCGCTAATTGACAAGACAGCTAGTAAACATAAAAATAGGAATAAACTGACTCGGCACACAAATGATAACCGAAAAAATGCATACAATGGCAGAGTTTATCAAATAAAAATTGCATTCAGTATGTAAATTCCAATGTCAACGGTTGCCCATCGAAAGTAGATATTATCGTTCTCTTTCATCCTTTTTTTATTGCATGCACAAGCGGGTGCAAAAAATCACAGTTTTCATTTTACATTAACGATGACTTTGGGGACAATAATATTATTTTTAATTGAGGCTCATACACACACGATCAAAAAGAATTTATCGAATGTACGTGCCACGCACACCAATACGCATATCACACCCAAACCCGGACATACTCCAATGAAATGCACCAACGAGATACGTACAATCATTGCAACTTTTTTTTACATATTTACTGTGACGAATGCACTCTCAGTGTATTTTTTTTTTTCATTGAACAGGAAGGTAAATCATATTTTATCAGGAGTGTACACTGTACATTCAAAAATGTATGCAAGTTTTTGTCACGATTTTGATACAGTGATTTCATTACATGTGTTTACATCATATCTGTATACAGACCGATACTGGCGGATGGCATGCAATACAATTCTTTTTTGTTCGTTTCGAATACAGATTTCTTTTTTTCTTTTCATTAAATCGCTGATTGCGATTGCAATGTATATAATAGAATGCAGTTAATTAAAACATATATCTTTCTGTTTTACCGAATAGCAAATTCAAATTGAAAAATGTCTGGCAATTTAAAACGATTGCAATAAAAAAAAACTTCATGCTACAAGACACAAAAATAGAGAGAGTACATTATCTACTATCTAATATTTCTCTTTTTTTAACTATACAGTGTCGATTGATCGCGCGTTCCATTTACTGGACATGTTTTATTAGTACACTGTATTTTTTTTACCACAGCGAACAAAATTTATAATTTGTTTGTTTTTCTGTTTTAAAATGCAACGCTTCTGCGCCCAATGCAAACGAATTCTAATTCGTAGAATTGAAGCGTAGAACCAAATCGACAAAATTAAAAGACGATGATATAAGATAAAAAACATGTGTTTATGAACGTAATAATGGCCATTTGGTGAACTGGTTAACAATTTTTGGGACTCAATATGCATATATGTTTTTGTGAAACATCTTTGAATTACCTGGAATCATAATTTGTTTTTATTGTCGTCCTCGTCATGGATGTTGTCGTTGTCAACAGTTGCAGTAGTACTTCTATCTTTTTGGCAGGGAACGGGTGAACTGACTCTAACACTCACTCCGACTTCGACTCTTTTTCTTTGTTTGCTAGCTGATTATATATAGTTTGAACTGATATGCATATCCCGTTTGTAATGGGGTGAGAATGGGGTGAGTGTTAATCAGGTTGGAAGAGAAAAAAAAATTCAAACGAACTGAATGTCATTTGTGAACGAAAAAAAAATAAAAACAACAGCGCAATCGAATAGAATATGTACATTGTACACACGCACATAATTGCCCAACCGGTGACACACGGCAATATATAAAAATGAATTGTTATGGGTTGTTGTTTTTTCGTGTTGTGTACTTCCACCGCATTTGCCTAGAATGCGAGTTGTTTTTTAGTTGTTGAATGGACTGTGTGAATGTTATGTGTAAGTGACAAACAACCAAAATCGAGTGGCGGATAAAGACATCGTGCATTGAGTCTTTGGGGAGACGGAAACATACCAGTTTGACCGGCTCATAAATTAAATGCAATAATGGTGGAATTATTATAAAAAGGGCAATCGCACGACACTCTACCGAGGGAGAGGGAGACGGATAATGAAAAAAAGAACAACAAAACAAAAGAAAATACACCAAAAATGGTAACCAATACATGCATTTAAAGATCCTCATATACACGTTTATCGTTGCTCTACTTGGTCTAGTTAGGTGTTTCTGCTGTGGCTAGTTGTTCAGTTTTTTTTTTCTATTTGATTTGGCGATATCGTTATGTCTGTTTGTTCGATAAAAGCGTGTATTTGTTAAACTGTGTACTTGATTTTTGTATTACTCGCATTCAGTCGTGTATCTCGGTATTTATTTGTGCTCGAAACATCGCAAGAATATGTTGAATGAATCTAAGTCCTAATAAACACTGGCTTTAAGTCCCATTTCCATGTTTATCTAACAAATTGAAGATATTAAGCTGTAAACTAATTTAATTTGAATAAATCCTAATCCATGGAACGGGTCAAAAAATGCGACTATCATATAGCATAACAAAACTTTCATTACTGACGAGCAATTGTAATAGATTCACTTCGCTAAACACATTCGCTTGTTCTCTGAATATCTTCCTTTATTTGGATACATATGCTATCGAAACATAGGGCGTGGAAATTTATCTGTTTGTGTTACAAACTATAACCACATCACCCGAACCAGCGAGCTGTAGCACAATCCATTTGTTTGCTTTGATTGATAAAATAACAAACACGGAATATTCGTTTCAACTCAACATTTTGTTCATATGACAGCCCAAGACAATTTTGCCTTAAGACATCTCCTCTCTCTCTCTATCTCTCATTTTGTTTTGTAGCCGCCATCGTATCGAACAATTCATAATGTGAATGAGATGCGATACGATGCTAATTCAATGTTCATGTATACAATCACCTATACCGGTGCTCAATTTAACCGACTTCAGATTTCGTATTTTACATGTAATAAATTTGTCGAATTTTTGTCGTATTTGATTCATTGGCTTGAAATATTTCAAATGGTGAAGTTCTCCTGGGGATGAATAATGATGTCGGGAAAAAAGGTAAATTAAACAAAAGCGAATTAAGGGATAAACTGTTCCAATGGAGTTGTACGCATAATAGAATGAGACAAGAATTGTTGTACGATAACACTGTAGAAATAATACTTACACACACACACACACACACATTCAAAAAATAACAAGGCCAGTCAATGGAAATTGTTCATTTGTTGTAGACCAAGTCCGACACGATTCTCTGCTCTTCAGTAAAGCTTTGGAAAAAAATACCACGAAGCGAAAAAAAATGTGCATTCAGCGTGGCTTAGTTTAAGCATAAAATATATCGAATGAACTAGATACAACTATATATGTGTGCTTACGTCCCTCGTAGACACCCACATTCACATCATGCTCACATATTGCTACTCTGCAAAGTCGACCACGCTTACAATTTCAGCAAATATTTATTGTTGACGTTTGAATCGCTTTGAATATGCCATGTTTTTTT